CCACATGGCCATACTGGTATGCTGGTCAAAACTTGGCCTTTGAAACACCTTCTTCCCCTCCCCAGCAAGCTTGGCTTGTGGCAAAATTAAGGTTTCCATGTAAAATATCAGTCTGCTTTTTGAAGAACTCCAGTTTTAACTGGAAAGCATAAAAAGACAAACTGGAAATTAAAAGATTCAGGCTGGAAAATGTTAAATTCACAAATTAAAAAAAAAAAAAAATCAGGCCAAATTGTTTTGGTTTTGATTCCTGGCTTTTTTTTTTTCCCTGGGAAACAAACTATGCTCTTTGTTTGACAGAGGAAGAGAGAGATAGGCAAAATAAATCCACAGCAATCTCTGCCAAGCTGATCTGGGGGGAATATCCCTCCTGACCCTAAAATTGGAGACTTGCTATCTCCAGATGGTACCAGGACACTCACCCAACCACAGAGGCTTCCCAGCATCCCAGGTCTCCTAGCAAACTTCCTTAGCACCTTAGCTAGGACCCCTGGGAGGGAACAGGGAGAAGATGGGTTGGAAATCATCTCCCTTGGATCAAAGCAGTCTGGTGTCCTGTCTAAAGTTTGTCCCTGGCTCCTCCAGTATGGGTTAATTGTTGCTGACCAGGCTCTGGCCCTTCCATGCACTGATAAGAAGGTGAGGAGGAAGGGTCCTGGCTTCTTTCCTTGGTACTTCACAGAATCACAGAATCTTAGGGGTTGGAAGGGATCTCGAAAGATCATCTAATCCAACCCCCCTGCCAGAGCAGGGTCACCTAGAGCACATCACACAGGAACGTGTCCAGGCGGGTTTTGAATGTCTCCAGTGAAGGAGACTTGTAGCTGAGATGCAGAAGGGGACTCTCTTGGTTTGCTTTTCCCCTTGCCTATGGTTGAATATCTGTTGATGTTTGCTAAACAAGAGCGCCAGTGGCAGAGGAATTAGAAGAAATCCCTTCTTAATTGGAAACAGTGAGTTTGTGTATTTTTTCAGTTGTCTATTTTAGGCCTTGTAAAATTAAAGTTATTAACTGTAATGCAGTGGTTTCCAGATTCCCACAGCCCTTTACAATAGCAGGGAAATTCATCCCAGGTCACTGGGAGCCTTTAATGAATACATTAAGGCTTATTATTAAAATAAAGTACTTGCAGCTTTATGGGAGACATCTGGCAAGGATGCTTGTCTCTCTGAAGACAGCACGGCTCCTTGAGTGTCCTCTCCCAGCGTGCACCATGTCTTGCCCTGGCAGAGGCTTTCAGAAGAAGTTCTCTGCACAAGGATTCCCATAGGTGGATCTGGGAGACAGAGGACCTTTGCTGGATGCAATGGAGGGTGGTTGTACCAGACCTGTCCCTGTGATTGCTTCCAGAGCCAACCAACCCCTTGCTGGTGCTGCAGGTACTGGTGAGCCCTGCAGGGATGCTTGTGCTCAGCACAGCAGTTGCACCAGGGTAAAGCTTCATCATTCACCAATGTGATGTGCAGGCAGAGCTGTGCCTGGGCTAATCCCAAGTAGAAGGAAAGGAGACTGGGCAGAAACAGCTAACCTGGGTGCAGGCAGGTCAGCTCAGAGCCAGCTGTTGGCCAGCTGTGCTCACCCAAAGCCCTGAGCTAGCAGGGTGCCGCATCTGGTAAGTGGCTTCATCTCGCATGGTGTGAGCTCACTGGTGTGGCTGCACCCATGCAACATCTCCATCCTGCATGGGTACATCCTAAAACAACCCTTGGCATTGCATGGAAAGCAGGAAGCCAAATTTCTGGGGTTTAGGGCCATAAAGCTCCCTGGCCCAATGCTAATGGGAGCAGGTAACTTGCAGCTGGAGCGTTGGTGTCCCAATGATCACAACCCGCAGCCAGGGAGGCTGCAGAGGGGTCTGGAACAGCCTGTGATCTTATCACTGCTTTATCTCTATCCAGGCTTGATCCTGGCAGAAAGCAGGGCCACGTGGCAGTAATTGCCTTAGGAAAACAAACTAATCTCCAAAGGGACAGAGAGCAGCTGTTGGGCTATCAGTGCTATCAGGGATATGGATGTGGCTTGCCAGCTTGCAGCACCGGACTGCTTTACTGCCAGGGCCAGGCAGGGGGTGGAGGGGGCACAAAGGGGATAAAAATAAGTTTGGGCTGCCAGATGGGTCTGAGGGAGTGTTTGTCATGGCATGACCTGCCCAATGTTACCTGTCCTTCTCTGCCAAGGAGCCCTTCACTTGCCAGAAGGTTTGTGAAATGTGGTCTGGTGGATCAGGTGTAGGAGTGGGGAGAGCTGTGTTTAACTCACTGACTTAGAAAGATCCAGGTTTAACCCTATCACCATCTGCCCTGATGTCTCCTCTGTGCTCCTTGTCTACTTAAGCAGTGGCTTTGCAGAGCTTCCTCTGAATGTGCTTCATGCAAGTCTTGCTTTGTACCCCAGGCACCCAAAACCCACTGCTGACTGCAGCTGAGCCATGGGGTGTTTGCCTATTCCAGGGCTGGGCTTGCCCTCCCTTCCCACCCCTCTCCCACCTCTTCAGCCTGAGCTGGTGGCTTCAGAGAGGCTCTTGGAGATGAATTTGGAGATTGGGCTGCAGCAGAAGGAACCTCCCTGTGCACCTCTTTCCCAAATTTGCAAGATAGAGGAAACATCCAGTGGTCAGGCTGGTTTTGAGCTGAGTGTCTCCTGTGGAGCTAATAGCAAAAAATAAATTACAAGGATCCTGTAACTGTTGTGCTTGGCCCCCCAGACCTCTCCTCTGTGCCTGGATCAGCAGCCCAGGAGATCTGGCACAGCCATGTGGTGAAACCCTACCAGGAGATGGGGATTCCCCACCAAATTCTGACTGAGCATGAGCATCTTTGGGGTAGTGGAAGGAGGAGAGGAAAGCAAATGGTAGAGGCAGGTCAGCCTCACAGGTTGCACGAGTCCCCTCTTCCCAACAAGCTGAATCAAGCCCCTGGCTTCAAATAAGCCCAAATTTAGGGAAGGCTAAAATCCAGCTCTGAAGTGTCTGGCTTCAACCCAACACAAACATTATTGTTGTTTCTGGATTATGTAGTTTAACAGAAAAGAAAATCCTATCGTTAAGTAATGCCAACAAGATACACACTTGTGTCTTGTATTTAATCTGTCCTATGAACTCTACTAAGGTTCCAATCAAGATGGACTTTAAAAAAAAAAAAAGGCCCAGAATTACACAGCTCCCCAAAGTTTTCCTGAGAATAATTTTTTGCCATGTTCCAGCCCAGCAGTTAATTAAGACTTCTATTAAATGCTGACAGGCACTTGATAATGTTATATATTGCAGCAGGCTCTGTTTGTGGTGTTATAATTATGGCAGTAAAACAGTTTCTGTTATAGCCCTTCTTTTCATAAGCTAATAACTTTTGAAAACATTCACTTTTCAGGTTGAAATTTTTGCATGCCTGGCCTTTACCCAGTGGGGATATTTTTTATTTTTTTTTTAAACTCTGAGCAAAATCCATCTAGTCCTCTTTGAGTTATGAAATAGAGGGGGAGGAAAAAAAATGAGCACTTTTTTCAGTGGGAATATAGGTGGGGAAAAAAGCTAATGACATGATTTTTCTCAATAGATGGATAGCAAAAGCATGTGATACCTGATGCTTGATTTGGAAATTGCTAGGGTGGGCTTTGTAGAGTGTCTGGGTCAGATCCTTATCTCTGACTTGATGAAACCAATGGCAGAGCCTCAAGAGAATCCAGTTGTCACCCATGAGAGGTAGCTCTTGGTTGCAGGTTAACAATAGAGGTTGGTAATTAACAACTCTCCTTCTGGCAGCATTTTTGAGGTATTGACAGTGTTTCTCATCTCTCCTAGGGATGAAGAGTCAGTTGTGAAAAATTTTGTGAAGTAAAAAACCAAAGGGTAAGATCTTTTTAGGTCAATGAAAATATTTTTCTTTGATAATTTCAAGCTTCCTGTTTTGTTAGGCTTTTTCCTACAAGCAGCCTAATTCTGAAGAGAAAAGACCTTTTCAACTAAAATCCAGGGATATGGCACTGAAGGAAATGTAAAAGCCAAATATTTGGACAATTTGGAAGTGTGTGTCAGTTTTTGTCAAGTTGAAACAACAGTTTGAACCACCCTTGCTTGTGAAAAGATAAATGGGCATTTTCCCACCAGCTCCCCTCCCTTTCCCAAGCCTGTTGCTCTGGGAGCTTCCCAGCTGGCCCATGTTAGATGGTGGGTAAGATGCAGCAATGGGCCAAATGAGATGGAACTACATTGGCAGGAGCAACTTGAACCACTCTAAGACTTCAGTGGGTTCCTGACTTTAATTGTTCCAGGGCAAAAGCCTTGTCCTCCTTCCCAGCCACCACCACTGGGATCCCTCAAGAAGGACTTCAACATCCCTTAAAGGTATTGAAGATACAGATGAACCTCTACTGCAACCTTCAAAAGCATCTAGGATGAGTATGTCTACCTCCTGATGGGGCCTTTAACCACACTGGAAAGTGGTATTTAGGCTCTTAAATTGTTTCTGTGCTCTTGAAAAACACTTGTAGTCCTCCTTGGGGCTTGTTCTTAGTCATCAGCCACAGTTAAGGAAAGACAGACAGCAGCAGTATCCAGTGGGAGTACAGCTGGAGAGGGATGCCTTTGCAGCCTCATGTCACTTGATGTGCTGGGCTGTTTTTCCAGTAGAGCTAAAAGAAAAGGTGTCCTGGAGAGGGATGTGGGGGATGAATGGGGGCACCCACCTACCAAAGTGGAGAGGTTTATCCCTGAGAGGTGGCAATGCACTTTGTCAGTGCTGATGAGTGATAAAGCAGAAGTAAATCAGCCACTCTTAAGCTCCTGGTTTTCAGCAGTGGATCAAGGGGACATCTAGACTGCAAACATGTGGCAGTTACACCTTGGTTTTTTTTTCTTCTGTGAAATGGGGCACTGACTGCTAATCTTGGTTCCATGCTTATATACAGCTTAAAATTCCCCGGTGACGGCTGCAGGGAGTTTCCAAAGACCGGCTGGGTTTTCTGCAGCTCCTCTACTAAGCTGCAGCAGAAGAGATGACCAGCTATGACCATCTGCGTGGCAGCTACAGGTGGGTCTGCAGCCTCTGCTGCCTTGTATGAGCTGGCTTTCCCCTCCACTGTGCCCCTGTGTGGGAGTGCAGAGGGACCAGTGCCCTCCCCAACACGCTGTTCGTAACCCCTGGCTGGCCTGCCTGCTTTCTTCGGCGCATGGTGGGAGCTCACTTGGCTCTGGTGAGAAGCCATGTCTTGACACTGATATAATCAAAATCCAAATATCACTGGAGGAAGCTTATCTACAAACATGCCTCGCTCTGGAGCCAGCACCTCCAGTGCAGGCCCAATGCCCAAGGCAGTGCCAGGAAGGTTTGAGTGGATGGTGCTGAATAAGTCAGCTAAAAACAATAGCACATAGGGATGCTGCTGAGACATGGAAAAAAAGTTAGAGCTGGAAAAATCTGCTTTGTCTGTCAAACCCAAGGGTCTTCACTGACCTGGACCCTTTGTTTTCAGGTTTTCCTCCCTGGGGCTTTCCCAGAGGGCTGTCCTGTCAAATACCCTCGCTGGGGTTGTTCCAGCAGTTCCAAGGAGCCCCAAAATAGAGTCAATGGAAATCTTTTTCGGTGTAGCAGACCCAGTGTGTGACCTTGCTGAGCACTGGAACCAAGGGGGATGTAGGCTGCTAGGTAGAACTTGAGCCAAGTTGCACATGCCAGAAAAAAATAAGAGAAAAATGCTTCATTGATTTAAAAATATATCAGAAATGCTTAGAACTGCTGTTCATGTTATTGAGTTGAGAAAAAATGGGATAAGCAAAGCGGGATCAGCAGGTAGAAAATTACACCAGGGCCACTCTTGTTGAGGAAGGTTTCACTCATGGAGTGAAATTTTGAAAAGACTTGTGAACACTGTAAACATATGGGGTAAAACATATTGCAAGTGTGGGACAGTGGAAGGGAGGAGCTGCAAAAGGAAGAATATCACCAATGTCACATTAGGTGTCATCAAAGGTTTCTCGTGTCCATCCACATGCAGCAGTGGCTCCTTGGGGATGGAGCATGTATGCTGTGATCCTTAGAGCCAAGGGTTGCATCTGGCCTGCAGTTTTCAGGTAGTTCCCAACAGATCAGCCTTCCTCAAGTGTGAATCCATTCCTCCTTCATCCATCCACGCCATCCTGTGGAGTCATGTATGATGGGACCCTGTGTCAGTAGCAAACAGCCTGTGGTTTTTTTGTGTCAATGGCAGTGGCACGGTGCTAATTTTCAACTTTGTACCCCAAATTCCCCATAGAAATGGAGGAACCTTCGACCAGTGCTGTTCATGATGGTTCTTGGTGCACTCGAAGGGGGTTTGTTGCTGGGCACTTATCCCTGCAGCGGCATCAGGGAGCTGGGCTGCTTACAAAGAGCTCACTGGGCATCTCTCAAGTATGTGGCTGGCGCTGCTCCATGCAGTTGGGTCCAGACTTCCTTGCTCCCCACTGATCTGCTCCCTCCACCCCAATTGTTTTTCCAGACTGCGGCAATAATCGAATGTGCAGAGGTGGTGGGACGTGGATGTGTATCTGAGCCCCGCTTGTCTTCAGTACCCTAGTGTGCTTTTGGGGGGAGGGAAGAAGAGAAGGAGAGGAGGGCTTTTATCCTTTTTTTTTTTAGAAAGCAGGAACATGGGATGTACATTAGGCTTCCTTCTCCAGAGAGTACTGCTGCATTTTGCCTCTCAAGCCATGCCTCGACGCACGCCCCTCCCTGCGCATTCCAGCACAAACCCCTTTTGTTCGCTGCCCTCAGCCAATATCCAGGCAGCAACAGCAGCCCAGATGTTCCCTATCAAACTCAGAGCCATGCCAACAAACTTTGGCACACATGAAAGTGTGCAGAGGAATGGGCCTCCGCAAATACCTTTTTTTTTTTTCTCCTCCACCCTCCCATTCCTGCAAGTATTTTTAAATGTTAATGGCTTCCACCCTGCGACAGCCACTGGGGGGGCTGCCAAGCCGGGCTCTGGGGGTGTCTAGCAAATTAGCAGTTCAGGTATCCCCCCCCCAGCACCTCGTCAGGGCTGTGCTAACCTCCAGCTCCTGCCTTGCATTTTCCCTGATGGCTTTCCAAGGATAGAGCTGATCTGGGGGTGTTTGGGGATGGGAACCTTCAGCCCAGCCAAAAGGGAGAATCCAGGCGATGCTCTGTGGGGATTTGTGGTAAATCTGTTTTCTCTAGCACTGTCAGAGCTGGTTTGTGATGACCTAGAAAAATCATAGTTAAAGATGCCACAGGGGCTGTGTGGCCCCTCTAAGCTTAGTTTTGCCACACACCCGCTGATTGGAAGGTGCATGGGAGAGCTAGTTGGGTTTTTGGCCAGCGTGGGATGTAGGTTTTGGTCATCTCTTTCTTGGGATCTTCCCTTCAGCCAATTCCCATTGCTGTCATCTGAACATTGGATCATGGTGCAGGTGGGCCACCGTGCTGCTGTCAGTGAGCTGCCAGAGATCCCCAGCACACATCAGGGCAGACCAGGAGCCAAGGAACAGTGTGGCCAGTTCTCAGCACAACAAACTGGAATTGAGCTGGCTTTGGCTATGTGTGGATGGGTGAGTGCACACTTGAAAACCTTCCTCTGTCTGTGTGTGCAACGTATCTACTTCTGCTGAGTCAAACAATCTCAAGGCTGTGCACGCATATGCTTCCATGGAAGAGCTCCCTAGCATGTAAATGTGATTAAAAGCTGCTGCAGGCAGGAGCTGGCTGTGTATATATGCACTCCTGTGCAGGCTCAGATGTTTCTCTTCCCATCTCAAATGGCAGAGCCAGGTCCCACCTCCCCTGCTTCACCACTGAACCCCATGCTGTCTGTGTCAGATTTGGTGCCCACTGCCCTGACCTTGGAGAGATGGTCTCAGGCAGATGCCAAGCCTGTGCTTGCTGAAGCAAGCAAAGGCCATTTCTGCTTAGAAGATCCATTGTCATCTCATCTAAACACAAGAAGCCCATTTGTTTCAGCACCAGGGCTCTTCAAAGAGAACCTTGAGCACATTTTTTCCTTCTGCTATAATGGTAGCAATGTATTTTTTCACTCCTTTCTCACATTGTAAAGACTGAAGCATTTTTGTTCAAATTTAAAAATTAGAAAAAAAATCCCATTTGGATGAAGACCAGGCCTTGCAAACTTTCCACAAAGGGTGGTGAACCTTTCTCCAGAGCAGTGGGCTTATCTGAAATCATGTCAATGCATGTGCCAAGATTTCCATACTGGAAAAAGACCCTTGTCAGAGTTTTGCACAGGAAGGGATGGCATGAGCCATTGCACGGTAAATTTGGCTATGAGATGAGGAGGCAGACGAGGTCCCAGGGGAGGGAGAACATTTCCAGCCTGAAGTTGAACAGGGATGAAGCAATAGTTGCAGAGAGGTTCAGAGAAACAACCAGATGTGCACACGATAGCCAGCACCATGGAAGGGAGAGAAAATGGGTTTGCACAATCCAAGTGCAGGAGTCAACTCTGCCTACAAAGATGTGCTCTGTGGGCAGCAGCTACAGCTGCTATGGATGGGCCTGACTGGGTGACCTGGGCTAAATGAGGGCAGGGACCATTTTCAGAGATCCTCCCAGACTTGTGTCTCTTGCAGTGGTGACAGGGATGCTGGAAAGACCAAGTCAGCTACACCCTCTGTATCCTTGTCCTGGCCATGGGCCTTAGAAAATAAATGTAACCTTGGAGGCAATGTTAATACAAAAATAGTGGGGGAAAAAATGGTCTGAACTGATGGAAAACCCCTCTCTGAGGGGAGAGAAGGGGAAAGTGAGATTGTGGTTATGTTTTCAGGAAGGATTTGTAGGGACTTTCTAGAAAGCAGAAGAAACTGAGTGCCAGTCCTTGGTCCCCTCCTTTAAAACAATAATAAAAACCCAAAAAAACCTCCATAGCCCTTAAATTATCTTATTTAAAAATAAAAAATTAAGAGGTAGTTATCATTTCACATATGGTCTGGTTTAAATCCTGGGAGCAACATGGTCCCTGAGATCTAACCTGTTGGAGCAGATCCCTGCTGTGTTCAAAGGCAATGGAGAACCCTTGAATTTGCTTTCAAACTTGGGCTGGGGTTGCTAAGGTTTTTGAAGCCCTAAGCAAGAGGAGGATCTCTTTTCATAACCAAGCAGTTTGTGGGAAAAATATATTGGTATATTTGCATGCAGGGAAAAGTCTGGGATGTGAGGCAAGTCTCTCCAGATGCTTGCTGGAGTGTTTTGTGGCTTGTGCAGAAAGGCTGCAATCTTTGGGGCTTTATATAAAACCTGGAGGACAAAGGTCCTCTTTGTAAGCACAGACACCATCAGATTCCTTCAAATGAGGCCAATTCCAACAGTTGATCTTCATTTAACACTCCCAAAACAGATGAAAAATTGCAGACTGGATCTGACCATGTGTACTTGAGAGGGTTTTCTAGTTGCTGGTGCACAGGTGTTGCTACAGGGAGGATGCAGACATACCCTGATATATGCTGAATAATCCTGCTTTTTTGAGCTGGACAGTCCATATTGGATTAAAAGGTAGTGCCAGTAGTTCTCAAAACTCAGGAATCTGTTTGTCCTCTTCAGCTCATTTTCAGTTTCTCTGAAAGTGCATTGCTACGCTGAGCATGCGGACAGGGATTGCAGACCCTTTTCTCCTGCTAGGAGAGGAATCTGGAAACAATTACAAGCTGCTCATGCTTAATCACTTGGGTAACTCTTAAATGCCTGTCTTAATATTTTGCAGGACTGAAGATGGTATCTGAATTTTTGCAGTGTGCAGGTTACACAGCAGAGCATGGAGATTTTGACAGCTTTGCTCTACGCATGTTTCAGGGGTGTCTAGTCCTGAGGACCCCACAGCTTCTCTGAAATTCAGGTACAATTTCAATGAAAATCTAAAACGCAAAGGAAAAAAAAACAACCAGACAAAGTGTTTGCCTGATGCTCGTGCAAATTATCAGCTCAGTCATATTTTTATGAACCTTTGCTAAACCTGACCATTTGTACCTCAAACTGAACTGGAAGAGAGAATTAAATTAGTTGTTTGTTGTTTTTTT